AACGTCATTTGAGTGTCAGTTAGATATGAGATTACTTGAGAGCAAGTAATAGTAAATTTGGGGAAATTGATCAAATTTATGATATTTTCCTGCTTAACTTCCTTGTCTTATTTCAAATTAAACATCATTTTATACTGTGGAAGATGTTTTTATCATGTTTTGTAGAAAACAACTATAGAGTGTATTCTGGGGAGTTAGAGATGAAAAGGGGTCAAACGACTACCAATGAGCCCATGACCCAACATTGCATGCCCGCGCTGCCTTCCAAAGCATCGTGTGTCTGCGCCCAAATATAGCTTGCTCACGCCACTTTTATAGGAGGCTACACTCGCGTCGTAGCATTGTATGGTCGTGTCACCTTCCCAATTATCTTGAATGCCCGCTCCGAATCCACGCATCCTTCCCTGAGCGCGCGACACGCACGCACAACCTAGTGATGCATACGCGCCAATCACACGTTGTTTCGCATAACGTTTGTTTTGGAAGGATCTGGGGTAGCCTTAAGCCTTAATGCTATATATAGATGTGTAATTGAAATGTAAAGGGGCTTGGTTGCATTTTGGGGGTTGCTTTCTTAAAGTTAGAGGAGAGTATTTTGTTACACCATGTTTTCTCGTCCTTCGTGTGGAAAAAATTCTAAGGTGATTTTTCTTTAAGAGGTTTTTATATAAGAGAGAGATTTAAGGTTATGTATGAGGGATATTGTGTGCCTTTATTGTACGGCGAGAATTTTGTGGAATGCAGAGAACACTTGGCTTGGTAATAAATTTATGAATTTTCTTTCAATTGAATCTTCAATGTGTTTAATGAAAACTCTTGTATTTTTCTACCTCATGTCTCATAGCAATTCTTCATTCATGTTTAAGTGTTGTAAGGATAATGTTGGTTTCGTTATTTTTAACGTGAGTGTTGTAAGGATAACATTTTTTACTCTTTTAATTTAACCTATTGTTGTGTTAACCTTTATATGGTCATTTACTCCTAACTTGATCAATTAGGATGTTAAAGTTTCTTATGATTTAAGACTTCTAAGTGTGTCTCCTAATGGAGAAAGAAAATTAACACTCAGTAGCTTAGTAGAATAGGCATGTTATCATTAGAAAATTGTAACCTAGATAGGGAATCCGAGAAATCCTAGGAAATGCTGCATGGTTAAGTCGCTCTTAACTATAACATAATTTCCAACTCTTCTTATGACCTAGTCACAAGCTATGGAGGATAGTGTCCCTAATTATCAACTATCACATAGGAGAACTCATAGGAAAAACCTCATAAGAACACTATAATTGTATCATAGGAGCACGAGCCTCATCACCTTTATAGAAATAAAAATTAGTCCATGTTTTTTTTGTTGTTTTCATTTCTGTTTTCTATTTCCATTTACTATTCTTTTTAGGATTATTAGATTTTCCTTCGTGCACTTTAGATCACTTCAAACTAAATTCAGTGTTGTAATACAGTAGAACTTCCTCTGTTACAAATATTTTGAAAGCTATCCTAATAGAATCGATACGTGAACTTTTTATACGTATATTATTTGATGGTAATTTGATCGACAAGTATAGTTGTGTTATTGACCGACCTGCCTCATAGAAAATTTTGAGCATCATGCAGGTAATTGGTTTCTAAAATATTAATACAGTAGATAGGGACAGACTAGGCATGTAAAAGCAAATGAAATCAAAGTCAATAGCATATGTAGGAACAAATGATTGAGCAGAAAAGCAAAAGTGACAACTTCCATTACTAAAATAGCTATATTGTGATGCCATTGTCAAGAACATAACATTTTTAGTATGTCAAAAGTGACAACTTCCATTACTAAAATAGACATCAATAATTATAATATTTTGTCCTGCTTCTTAAGTTTCCTTCTCTTCTTTTCAAGTCATTCGAATATTATCATAGGTTTACAATATCAAAATTTATAAGTTATCATTTTGTCAAAAAGGATTTCTTTCTCAAAAAAACACATACAATGAACTTAAGTCAACATGTGATCCAAACTCTGCAAAAGTGCCAAAGGATTATCATAAAGACAATAACCACACTAAGATGAGAAAATAAATGATTTCTCTAACTTCATGTAGAGGGGGCAAGTATGTTTTCAACATCTTAAAAGTTTTGCAAAAAATGCATGAAGGTTAATTAGGTTGAACCCAATGCCCATATTAGATTTCTAGTGGGTTTGATCTAGGGTTTTACAATGAAGCAAACTTGAGAAAAGTTTGCAATTTTGAGGGATATTTGATTGTACGGCAATTCATGGTTTTCTCGTTTTCATGTGAAGGGAGCAAGTATGTTTTCAACATCTTAAACAGTTTTGCGAGAAATAGTTTTAAGGTTAATGAGGTTGAAGCCAATAACCATATTATAGATTTCTTGTGGCCTTAATCTAGGGTTTAATAATGAAGCTAACTTGATAAAAGTTTGCAATTTTGAGAATTAATTGATTGTATGACAATTCATGGTTTTCTCATCTAAAAATTATGCTTAAATTTCTTGTTGATTGAAACAAATCTAAAACTTCAAAACTCGCTATTTTGTGTGAGCATAGAGTCTTCACCAAGGATGACAATTTTGGGACTTTTCTAAACTAGAAACAAAAAAGAGAGGGAAACAAAAACGCATGTGTAAGAAGAGAGAAAGTTTGTGTGTTTATGCATGAGAAAAAAAACTATTTTTTCTTATGATAATAAGAGAACATGAGTCTGCCTAAGGAAAATGAGAAGAGAGATTTGGAGAAGCTTGAGCTATGCAATAGAAATCTCTTTTATACATATGATGGGGTGGTTAAATTAAGAAAGATAGCAAGATTTCATAGTTTGGATCTAATCTTGCAAATAAAAGTCATATAATGGGAGACCCTGAATAGAATAAAATTCAAGTCTTAAAAATCAATGAACATTATAGTAAAACCATAAAAGTGTCATCAAAAACTCCAATTTAAAGAATGCTCATGCTAGAACACTCCAATAATGGATGACCTCTTCACAAGCTATGCCAAGGGAACAAAATTGTATATCCCATTAATCCATAGAAGGCAATATCTCAATGAGTGTGGCATCAAGCAATTATAATAGTATATGAGCAACGCTCTTGCCAAAAGATGAAAACTAAGTATCTTATAGGATAAAGTGCCTCACTAATAGAATCACCTCATAAAACTGTGCTAAGACTAAAGGTACATCGTAAGACTCATCCCTTTAATTTATATAAAGAATCTCTAAAATTTTGTATGTCTGATGAATGAGTCTTGGTTATGTCAAATCATTAATGACAAGTAAGTTACTTAAGATGCGGGTTTGTGAGATCCCTTAAAACAAGATAAAGTTGAACCCTTAAACATCAGGGTGTCATATGTTGAAGTGTTTGAGTTTTATTAAACACTTCAATGTTCGGCATGCTCATGTTGAAGCACTCTTAAGATAAGTAATTTCCTAAAAGTTATATCTTATAGCATAAAGTGCCTCACTAATAGAATCGCCTCATAAAACTGTGCCAAGACTAAAGGTACATCGTAAGACTCATCCCTTTAATTTGTATAAAGAATCTCTAAAATTCCGTATGTCTGATGAATGATTTTTGGTTATGTCAAATCATTAATGACAAGTAAGTTACTTAAGATGCGGGTTTGTGAGATCCCTTAAAACAAGATAAAGTTGAACCCTTAAACATCAGGGTGTCATATGTTGATGTGTTTGAGTTTTATTAAACACTTCAATGTTCGGCATGCTCATGTTGAAGCACTCTTAAGATAAGTAATTTCCTAAAAGTTATATCAACATGATAAAATCATAGGGCCTATTAGGCCAAAATGTATAATATTAGATACTTAAATATTGCCTCAAAAATTAATTCTCGATGAAAATCCAATAATATCTTCCATAATCATGGATTATCATGAAAGATATCTTTTTAAAATCATAATATTCCACCCAAATAAAACTAAAATAAGAGTAAATAATCAAAATATCTTGGCATAAGTTAATTAGGGGATGAATTAGCCTTTATTGATTGAGAGATGCGCAAACAAGAGCCTCTATTGAATGAGGGATGCCCAAAATTAGTTGAATGAGGCGGTCAGCCATGGGATTGTGAATGATTTGATCTCAAGCCGAATCATCTCAACCCTTGACCAACTCTCGTGTTTTAAGTTGATGTTAAGGTAAAGCTAGCTTCAATTGGAGCCATACATGGCTCATTAGTTTTTCACTGGGCTATGCTAGAGCAAAAATAATTTAATTAAAATATTTTAAGATAGCTTTTTAATCCAACAAGAAAACAAACCCACATATTGCAAATACAAAAAAAAATGTCATTTATAAAATTGCAAAGATGTGTGTGAACAACAATTATATTCAAATTCACCCAATTGAAATTTGATTGAGTTGTTGTTCAATAGGCGTTCATTGACTTCAATAATAGTTCAATTAAATCGAAGTTCGGAGTAATATTCAATCTATATGTGTATTTTCTATCCATAGGCTGACCATAACCAACTCCCATCCCACCCGAACCTCGTCCCCTTGCATCTAGCTGCTCTCTTCTAGTTAGCCTAGCATAAGGCCCATTATGTCATAATCGAGCCGCGTACATGCAAAATAAGCAACTGATTTGAGTGAATATTTCTCTAAGTTACTCTGGTCGAATACTTCTGTATCAGTATAACAAAAATCATGCCAACTCCTATCATTTGTTTAAAACATCAGCATTTTCAGATTTCCTCGTATCATCGCTCTTTTAAGAATTGAAAAAAATTTCTCAAGTCTTTCAAGCAGCAAGCATAAAATATTCACCAAGAGAAGCAACAAAATTGGAACAGATTATCAAACAGATTGAGTGGCTCAGATCCACCCACATTACCCGCACGCAGATTTCAGAGCTCGTGATAACCATTCCATCAACATACACCAACCCTTCGAGACAGCAAAAAAGAGATAATTATCTGAAGGAGGAGCAATAGATCTGAGAGATGTAAGAACGAGAAGAGAAAGTACCGGATGAAAGAATCTCCACTGGCGACGGCGGAGGAGACATTGGGGTTGGGGAGGGATGAGTAGAGTCCCTCGCTGCCGCCGTGGAGGACGAATGCGTTTCCCTTGCTCACGAACTTCTCTCCCTTGTAATCATGGACGGAAGCGAAGGCTGAGTGGAGGACGAACAGGACGTAGAAGAAAAGCAGAAGGGGAGACGAAGGACTGGGGGGCTTGAAATTTTTTGACATTGGATCACGAAAGAGCTCGCACTCGTTCTTCCTTGATATTAGAGAGGGAGAGGGAGAGGGAGAGGGAGAGGGAGAGGGAGCACCGACTGAGCTTAGAATAATTTGTTAAGATAATAAGGTACCAGAGACTCCAAGACCGAGAATTAGGAGAAGACTTATTAAGGAGAAAATCATTTTTTATTTACTCTCATGAGAATCGGAGAAAATATATATATAATTAGGGGGGCTTAATTTTAGGGGATTTTTACATATTAAATATATAAAAATAATTATTTATGTACCTCACATCTCAAAATTTATTTTTATGAAATCAACATTAAGGTTAACTTTCATCTCTCACTTCTCCTCCCATGATTAGGATGTTGTTCTGTGGAAGCTTGCATGAGAGGAGCAGTTGGGGGTGTTCACCAGAAACAGTGGGTCTAAACATCGGAAGTGTGCATGGAATGCGTGTGTCGGCATGAAGAGAGTTGGAGACGGAAGTTAATGAAATTGTTGATTTAAAAAAATTAGACATTATAGTGTGAGATGCATAAATAACAATATTTCTGATGCTATAAATATATGGAAAAACCCCTAATTTTATTTTATATATGATATGTCGTCAATGAATTTAATCATTTGACATGAATCTCAAGATGTGTCACAAATTTCAAAGTATTTTTATATAAAAATATTTAAATTCAAATTTAAAATCATTTAGATCTACGATTTGAGCAAATTTTTAGTTAAATTGATTAACTCGACTAGACGAATACAATGATATCAAAATTGATCCAATATAAGTCAAAATCAAGTCTGGATCAAGTCATTATACCACTTTTGGAAGTATTGAGTGGTTATTTGTTGGGTCAAACAGATTCCAAATTTGGCAAATTTATAGTCAAATAAGCATCATGATTAAACACGTCCAAGAAGCTCAAGATCACTCAATTACGAAATTGTTAAGAGACTTAAATATCTACAAATACTATCCAACCGTGGGAATCTCTCTCGGTCATGTGATGGAGTGATCCAGAATCATTTCTTATTTGGAGCGAAGAAACTCTCATACTCTATAAATAGAGTCATACCCTCTTTATGAAGAGGAGATACAGAAGAGAGACCTAGAGCTAGAGTTGGACGAATAGAAGAAGAGTTGAATTACAGTGTTGTTATGAATCAAAGACAAACGAACATCGACTATTCCCATAGCCATCGACTATCGTCGATCACTGCTCGATGGCAGTTGTCGACCATTGTCAGCCGCCCCTGCTCGCCGATGTGAATGAATCCTATGAGGTAAGGATGCACCACAAAGGTGATATAGCAGTGTACCTCAAAGACGATGTAACAACGCACCTTAAAGATGGTGTAGCGACGCATACTAACAATTGTGTAATGACGCACCCAAAAGACAGTGAAACGATGCAACCCAAATACGACGTAGTGATGCACCACAAAAAAAAGTGTAACGATGTACCCCAAATAAGGTGTAATGATGTACCCCAAAGATGGTGTAATGACTCATTATGAATATGGTGTAACAATTCATCCTTGAGTACGGTGTAGCTACCTGTAATAACTATTTATAATTGTTGTACTCATAATATGGTGGCCTTCTCTGAATTTTTGAATTTCTCTCCTCATATCTCCCCACTAAGACCTGTGGCCTATGTGGTTTACAACTCATACAGCTCCCAACTACTGTCTCTATGACATGCAGATGCTACTGCAACTCTCTACTATGTCATACGTCACCAATTATGTCATATTTAGTCCATAGCTCATGTAGCTCCCAACTAGGGCTGTCAATTTGGCTCGTTGTTCGCGAACAGCTCGTGTTCGGCTCGTTCGTTAA